ACCCAGCTCAAAATATTTTCCAACTACAATCTTCTTAAAACTCTTTCATCTGAGGCCCATATTGTGATTTATACTATAATTACCTAGTTGCCTTACTTCAAGTGTAATTCGATTTCTTAAACAGTTGGGAGCCTCCATAAAAATTTAATTGACAAAGGGAGCTCTTGCTAAGTGCAGTAATATCTCACCTGAAATTTTAACTTGCATATTAAATTTAGAAAACGGCCGTTTATACGCTGGGCAATATTTTCCTCCTAAAGAAGTATGTAGATATTTGTAAAACTGAGTAAAAAAAATTTCGCAATATGCTTAATTGCTAACAAATTATTTCCCTTAATTTATATTGGTACATATACATATTTATATGTATGTACATATCTTTGCACATATACATAGAGCAAACATACATTAACGTATATGTACGTATTTATCTCCGTTAATGTGGCATCATGTTTTTTATAGTCTAAGCGCGCAAATTTTCACTACTATCCTGGTAGATGCCAGCACACTTGTTCCCTCTTCGAACTTCTATTACTTCCACTTGCTCGTGTGCTTGAAGTTTCATATCCACAGCATCCTGCTAAGGGCTTCACATTATATTTATTACATACAAACACATAAATATATCTCTATAGATAAATAGCACATTTGCACGTTGCGCTTGAACGATGTAGAGATGAAAATGTGAAAATAAGTTTTCATAAATATTTATGACTCTATTAAGGTGCAAAAGGCGCGCGGCAATAACAGTAACAACAGTAAACCATAGCTACCCGCCAACAACCGGAAAAAAAACATAACAATAAACTCAACGCAAAGTTTGTAGCAGTGTGAGTACAGTAACGCGGCAACATCAGCTGTAGTACTCTAGCGCCGCACAATAGTATAGCTTCATACATCTTTTAGAAAAAATTAGAAAGAGTCGGCGTAGAACCTCAATTATCCGTATGCAATATTTGTGGTCATAAATCAAGGGAAAAATAAAAAATTGGACGAATTCAGTGTGTTTCAAAAACTCCTCCCTTATGTACCTAACCCCGAAAATATCTTAAAATGCCATAAAAAGCGCAACAATGAATTTCTGGTTCTGAAATCAGAAGATTTTTTTTTTCAATTAAAATTTGTTGAGATTTTTGTTGAACTCAGCAATGTATATTTCTATTAACTTTTGCTTTGACTTACTTTTGTTGTAGGTTCGTATAAAAATACTTGTTTGCCAAAATAGAGAAAAATCAATGCAATCGAACAAATCTTTGAATAAATATAAGCAAACAAACAACATTGTTCCACCTCCTTCCACGGTCTTCCTCGACTTCTAGCTATAGGAAAATTAAAGATCTCATTCCAAGTTTGCATGGGAGATGTGTGCTGAAATAAACTAATTATCCCTATTTTCGGAGCGTTGGGTTATAATATTATTGCTAACATACTTATGGGCAAAATTTTAGAATGAGCTGTTGAGCAGTCCGCTTTTTCTGGCTTTTTTAAAATGTTTTTGAGGTTATGTGAGAGGTTATGGGAGATATGCTTTGAAATACACAAATTACGCCGAATTTTTGAGGGTTCAGACATTACGTTAATGAACACTTTTGGAGAAAATTTCGTAAAAGATAATGGTGAGTTTTGCTTATTCAAATATTGCTTTATAAAGCTAAATATCCAAATATTAGAATTGATTGTTAAAAAAAAACTGAATTATTTCCACCGATATCCCACTGTGCGCCGCCAGGCGCTCGTGAATTTTGTAATAACAAACGTTGCGACCCGAAGACATTGTCCAATACTGCGCGCCAATACACAGTGGCACAAAACAACTGACACGCTGATAACCGTGATGCCCGTTGCTTCCCGCGTTGGGACCGCAGCGCATTCAACCATTTCTTAGCCGCTATTTCAGCTAGCGCGCAAACCTGCGAGTTGTATGTTTGAGTTTGCATCACTCCTTCCGAATTCGCATGAGTCCTAGGAGGTGTTCAACGAACTGTTCGACACTATTTTCTAAACACCTTTCTCATTTACTTGGGGTACCGGCTCTTTGTGATGCCACAGTGGACATATTTCATTTCCCTATAGTAAAAATAATATTTTGGCGCTTACACTAATGCTCGGTTTTTGGACGAGCTGTTATAAAAAACTGTTTCTTATTTATATCTTGCTCAGAAGTGAATCGAACCTATGGATAGCTTAAATATGGATAGAGAGAATATCAAGATGCCGGTTATTAGCAAAGTCGGCGTTGGATGAGCTCCATGTCGTACTAATGGGGGCGGCTTCTTCTAAAGTCATTCCAAGGTATATTTTATCTGGCTGCGTGTACAACATTGAAACTAATGATCGATAAGAACAGCTTTGCAGTTTCTCTCAATGTCGTAGTTTCCTGGTAGCCAGACAATTCTTGAGGAACGATAGCAACTTGACTTGGATGTCACGAAGACGAAAATAACCCACCTGTTTGCTCTGAAAACAACGCTAAGATCGTACCATTTGTATACCTTACTGGTACTGGTGCATTTCCGAACAAGGGGATACGTAAAATATGCCGTAGACATTTCCAAACATTTGCCTGTATGGCTATGCTATGTATGTATATCTTATACTCGTATATGAGGTTATGCCCTTTTCAATATTTTCTCGCTGCACTACCTACACCTCCCTCTTTTATTTTTTAACAAGCGTGGAAGTAATAAAATGCAGCGTGAAAAGCTGGATAATTACTAATATGACTGACAATACTTCCTTTTGTGGGGATTGTGGAGGAAATGGTGTATACAGGCATGGAACAAAGCATTGAATAGAGCAAATGCTTATACAAGCATACTTATGTGTATACTAGGATGCCTCACCTTTAAACGGTTAAAGATTGACTTTTTAACAAAAAACTAATACAATTAGACTTTTGAGATTATTATTTATTGCAAGTGACCTTAAGTGCTTTCACTTCGTGGAACAAGATCAAACAAAAAATTATCAGAAAATCAATATTATAAAAAATACAGCACCAAAATCCAAAAATCGACACATACGCGCTAATGTACATAATCATGTATGGCATCCATGCGTTTATATAAACAACATCAACAAAACAAACTCACCACCACACTTGCATTATTTTCAAGTATGACATCATTCAGCTCCGTCATTCATATGCATACAAAAGAGCTCCTGTTGCGTGCTTTATTCATAGCCGTAAGTAGAGAGTAAGAGTAATGTGTGTATGTATTTTGCAAACCCTGCAGTGAAATCTAGTAATACTGAGCTAGGTGTTTGTGTTTTTGTTCAACTACTTATTTTGTCTGCTATCTTTTCCTACATTGCCAAGCATGGTGGAATGAAATTAATTTAAGTTGTCACAGAATTTCATAGATCATGGCGATTCGTGACAAGAATTTCAAACCTAACAACAAAATTAAAAAAAAACATTTGCCGTTCTGACTAGTATCGGTTTCTATAACAGCTTATAGTAGTTAAACTTCTCGCTTTTGTATTGAATAGTTTGGCTTTTCATTACTGGGTATTTATCAGCAAACACATAAATGTCTTCCCAAACAAATGCAGTCACGTATGGGGCAATCCATGTCAAATCGACCACTTTTTATTTGGATTCATTTTAGTCACAACTTTTGTAGTATCATATGACAACGTCCTGTCAAAGAAAACATTTATTTATTTATTTTTTTAATGTACGCAAAATTCTAAATTTCACAAATTTCGGGAGTGTGCTAATTTATTTTTGAATATCTCAAAGCTATTATAGTTACAAAAATGGTTTTGGTCTTATTTTAAAGCTAATATTAGTGGTATAAAGAAGAAATATATTTAAAAAGCGGGAGATAAAAAATTTTGAGATATGCGAAAATTGTTGTACAATGCCTCCAACTGCTCCTTAAAGGTCCGAGAATTTTCAAGTTTTTTTTTTAATATACATTTTTAAACTTCAAAAAATTTTTTTGCTAACTTCAAAGTACTGTAAATTTTTTTTCATTTAACTTCAAATTACTTTAAGTTTGCAAAACTTTTTTTTTAAACTTCAAAAATTTTTATCTTCTAAAATACACCTTCTTGAAACTTTCAGGACCTTTTAAGATCAGTTAGCGGTATTGTACAAAAAAATGGAGACACAAATTCATATAAGTTGTAGCTTTCACGATTTTTGAAGTTTCAAAATTCTGTAATTTTTTATGTTAGGATTTTTTGTTTAAATAATGATGATTAGTTGCCCTCGCCAACGAATCGTCAACTCTTTGTTTGTCAGACTTTATTAGCGGTTACTTACATATAGCAATATATGTATTTATACCCTTGTATATTTCTACATCTATATGTATTAGAGTCACTTGCCACTCTGGTAATTTACTACTAACTAGCACGAATTCTGCAATATTTAAGTGCATTGTGATTTACCAAGAAATAGAAGCGATATCGAGAAGGGCAGAAGGGGAAGCGTTTCGTTTCCCTTAAAAAGTCAATTTTTTTCCTTAAAACAGTTGTAACGAACTTAAATAAAAAAATTTGATTTGTTTTACGCTTCTTTTGAACACAGAAATCGATTCCTCGACGCAAGAAAAGCAATACTATATTTTAAAAACTCTTTAAAAAATTGAGGGTAAACTGTGTTCAGGTAAAACAAAAAAAAAAAAAAATTAAATTGAAAACCCACTTTTTTTAAAGCAGGGAAAAGACTAGATACTTGAAGTGATCGCATTACATTTAAACTCATACAATAAATGGCTGTAATTGGAAATGAACCTTCGAATTGAATAAGTGCAAATGTCTGTAGTGGTAAATGACGGAAATGCTACAGCATTCGTAAATACACACATACATAAACATATGTATACAGAAAAAATAATTTGCGCATAAAAAGTTTTCTCTAATCACATTCAAACAAATTGCATCTTTTTATTACATGATTTGCTTATATTTACATACAAACATATTCTAATATTTGTATGTATCACTAACTCCCACCTACTCAACTCTCGTACTTTTTCTCTTTACAGACATATTTCACATTTGATTCGCGTGCTGAACAGCAAACGGAGGTTTATTTACGTTATGGCCAACATCCGGAATTGTATCCCAATCGACGCGGTGAAGTAGTGCAAGGGTAAGTGTAGATAAACAAGCAAGCAAGTGATGCACGCACGCACGCACGCACATATGAACAAAAAAAAAACAAATTGAAATTTTTATTTTTTATAAAAATATGCAAAAACATACAAAAATGAGAATAATAAACAAACAAGCACCTGCAATTGTGCTTATTTGGTTAAAATGTGCCAGCACCGCGCGCATCAGCTTTCCATGTTACGTATACGCCCCGGTGTCGTAGAATTGCTTGCATATTTACGTAGCTTGTGGAGAAGAGCAATGCTTCATTGTTGCGGCGTAGCGGCGACACAAAAAATATCTACTGACTTGCTCGTGGCAATTTTGTTTCTGAAGATGCTCGCCTGCCTGCCTGCCTGTAGCCTACTTTTTGTAACCTTTTCCAACATCCTTCAATACATTTTATCCTCAATTGTCCTATACTGCCTGGGCTGGCTCCAGCTGCCATTGCTGTTGCTGCTGCTGCTGCTGCGAGGCAATAATTTAATTTTATTATTATTATGCGTAACTTAAGTGCTTTCCGCTGCCTTAATCATATTTTGCTTAGCGCGACGATGCGCAGCGAAGCACGATGGTAGCGATGGTTCAGTTGTTGTTGGTGGTTAAGTGTGCAAAGAAGAAGACAAGGATATTAAATATTTGCATTGCGAAATGCTTATACTTGTTGTACTTATTCTGTACTGTGAAAGTATTCTCAGCAATACTGAGCTGTGTCCCATTGAGGAGTTTACTTCCACAAAAAAATCAAATTCGGTTCAAGCCTTCAATTCCCTGATAACTCGGAACTCATTTTGATGTTCCTTTAAGACGACCCTAGGCTTTACTCGCCCAAAGTTGCTGATAAAATTCAAAGTACAAATATTTCAAAAAATGACTTAAAATAGATTAACTACTGTAAAAAATGGCGGACGTAACATTTATCCTCCCAAAGCCATAGTTAACCTTTTCATCGCTCCATGCTTTAATGATCAAACTTTCGTTTCCAAGAAGCAAGACTACTTGTATTGTTGTTCGTGCCGTTGGCTTCGTATTGATCACTCTCAATTTGAACGTGTCTATGCGTAGATTGATCTCTTGGATCCATGTCAAAATCCAGAACTATTGACTTCTCTTATAGTTAGAATATTCTCTTGCACCTTTACGAGGTTATGCTGCGTCGCCATTCCCGGTGAGGTGGTAAGACAACGATCGGCACGTTGGACTTGGTCGGTGGCTTAAGATGAGTGTCAAGTTGTCTGCAACGTTCTCAACAGGCATTTACTTCGAGCCTCCTACTTCATTGAACTTTTGTGTGAGGAACTAGCACTTTGCAACATACATCATGGTAAAAATGTTGGTGAGGTAGCAGCTCGTCGATACCGTAGCACTAGTTGTGCTGGGAAGGCTGCTGCTATTGGAATTTTTTGAGCAGCGCTCTTCGTTTTATTTCCCTCCCCCTCGGTACTAGGAGTGGCGTAAAAAAAAACTTCGTCCGCTCGGACATAGAGCCGCTGTAGCTTGGTGAGAGGCGAGATAGGTCCAGAGACCGCATACGAAGAACTATATTCGCGACTAAGTTTTATGAGGACTCATAGCCTGACTGATCCTCGTAGTGGGTCTTATGACACCTTGATCCATTAGCGAAAAGGGGTTTTGCCAAGACCGCCTTGGATCTGGGTTTCGCTGAACCGCAAAATATGTTCCATGAAAGATATGTCGAATACTACCACAATCGATCTAGTAGATTCAGACATTTCTTCCGCAGATCGAATTGATTCATGGCAGATGTATTAGAAATGAGTAGCTCGCTTTCAATCTGCTAGGCTTCCATATTATCTAACCACCTACCAAACTGTACATACTGCTACTTTAACCTTACTTCCTCTTTGCTTAGAGTACATAGCATTCGTACCCACTTCCTAACTGCTATGCTTGCTTCACCAAATTAGCTTCTGTCTTCCAATCTGCCTGCACGGCAATTCAAATAAAATTCAATTACCAGTTGAGTTGATAAGCAACGATGAATTTACTTTCTATCAATTTATATTTATCTTCATATTAATATCGACTTTCCTAGTCCATACTGTCAGCCAGCAATATCAATAACTTTTTTTTTTGTATGCAGTCATGATTGCTTTGAGTGAGCAAAGCAGAAATCAGTTTGAAGGCACGCAGCCATTGCGAGGATGCTTAGACAAATAATAGTTTCGCAGAATAATACAGGATATTTAACTAACTTGCTTACATTGTTATTGCTGCAGGCATAAATCTTGTATGCGCAAACTAATCACTACTTTTGAAAGAAGTTTATTTTTTCTTACAAAAAAACAATAATGGCAATCATAAACAAGTAAGAAAGTCTAAGTTCGGGCGAAGCCGAACATTAAATACCCGGCGCAAGTATTAAATATATGTCTTTTCACCTTTCCGAAACCTTCCGCTAGATGGTAATTTTGAGTAAATTAGCGTCCTTCAATTTCGAAATATTGAAGTTTCAAGCATTTCTGAAATTTACCGTTATATGAGAAGCGTCCGTTATTTTAGTCCGATTTCAATAATTTTCAACGTTTTGCTTATATGTGGTAAGCACAATAACCACACCGAGTTTGGTACAAATTGGTAGAACGGTTACCGATATACTTATATGAGATCATAAGTGGGCGGTGCCACGCCCATTTTCCAAAGTTTTACCATAATCGTATTTCTTGGTAAAGAATTGTTGCAGGCATCAATTTTGAATAAATTAGCTTCAATATTTAATGATTTATCGAAGATTTTGTATTTCTCTAAATTACCGTTATATGGGATGTAGGCGTGGTTATTGTCCGATTTTAAAAAGTTTCGGCAATTTTTTATGCTGTGCCAAGGCCAACAACTGTGCCAAGTTTGGAAGAAATTGGTGCAGTGGTTACCAAGATATACACATGTAACCATGAGTGGGCGTGGCTACGCCCATTTTCCAAAAATTTACAATATTCTTATTTTTCGTCTAAAACATATTATAAATATCAATTTTGAGTGAATAATCTCCAGTAGTTACTAAAATATCGCAGTTTCCGTATTTCTGAAAATTACCGTTATATGGGAAGTAGGCGTGGTTATTGAGCGATTTTAAAAATTTTCGGCCATTTGGTATGTTATGCGAAGGCCAACAACTGTGCCAAGTTTGGAAGAAATTAGTGCAGCGGTTACCAAGATATACACATGTAACCATAAGTGGGCGTGGCTACGCCCATTTTCCAAAAATTTATAATATTCTTATTTTTCGTCTAAAAATTATTGTAAATATCAATTTTGAGTGAATTATCTTCAGTAGTTACTAAAATATCGCAGTTTTCGTATTTCTGGAAATTACCGTTATATGGGAAGTGGGCGTGGTTAAAGTCCGATTTCGCCCATTTTCAATACCAACCTACCTTGGATTAAGGGAAACCTACATACCAAATTTCGTTGAGATATCTCAATTTTTGCTCGAGTTATCGTGTACACGGACAGACGGACAGACGGACAGACGGACAGACGGACGGACAGACAGACATGGCTTAATCGATTTCTTTTTTCATCCTGATCATTTATGTATACATTTGTCTATATCTATCTCGATTCGTTTTGGCTGTTACAAACAACCGTTATGTGAACAAAATTAATATACCCTTGTGCACAAGTGCGCTCGGGTATAAAAAGAGAAAAAGCAAGAAAGATAGTCATTTATTTTTATTTGCTTCAATAACTTTGTGTTAAGGGCGAAGCAGTATTTGGATTAAGAATTGGTTTTCCTTTAGCTTTTTTTTGGAGACATTTTATACTACAGCGTTTGTTCTCAAAATACTTTATCAATAACCAGTATCTAAAACGTGCCTACAAACATATGTACATAGATTCACATCTTCATTTGCTTATTGTGTTTATTTTCTTGCCTTTCCTTTGATTCTAGCATATTTTATCAATACGTCGAGTTGACAATGAAATTTCAGATAAATTCATACACTTTCATTCTTAGTTATTTATTTATTTTTAATTTTTTTTTTTCATGTGGACAATATTCAATATTGAATATTGAATACTGAAAATTCAAACATGGCAATGTGCACAAAGAAATGTCAACCAAGAAAGGCATTTCTAAGAAATAACATACGAATAGGTTGCTAAAAATTTCATATTAATTAAGTTAAGAATTTCAAAAATATTTTGATTTGATGAGAAATTTTATATTTATATGTACATATGTAAATAGTTTCCTAATGTTATTGACACATGCCAAATCAAGACGTGCGGTCTAAATATACCTACATATGTACATAAAAATAAAGAGAATTTCGCTGAAGAAAAAATTCAATTACATTTTTTTATAGAGAACCAAATTTCTGGCAATTCTGCTATGAAAAAGTTAGTTATAACAAACGTTAGCTTACATTAGTAACCCTAACTGTATTTTTTGCAAATTTTAAAACTAATTAAGCAGGCTAAATTTGAGAAATTTGTTGCAGATATTGTATTACGCGAAAAAATTGGTCTAAAAGTTTCTTGGGTCGAATTGCAGTCTTTAAAAAAATACATTTTTTAAATAAGGTTATCAATCGAAATCTGTGCATAAAAATTTCATTACAGATATACTTTAGGGTAGGGTTGCCATCTTTAAAGGGATAAAACTGCAAAACCTATATCCTCATACCGTCCTACTATATTTAATATATTACGGTTCTTTACTCTCCACTGAGAGAAAATTCAACCAAAAATTGATTAAAATTACCAAATTCAAACTTGAAAATGAATCAAAGTAATTTTTGGTTTCTATTAGAAATGCCTGGGTTGATATTTTCAGCAATGATTTGGTAATATTTACCACAATTTTGTTTACATTAACCCACTTTTGGTTGGCGATGTTTTCGTTTGAACACGCTTATGTTCTGCACTTCACAGATGGTTTTTCATAATTCAGAGATACATAACAAAAATTTGTGTAATCATTTTAACACGTTACCTCTGACGGGATTAGTAAATAACAGCAAGAATAAATTTTCTTCGTCATTTAGTTTGATTCTGCACTTCACAGAGGCTTTTTCGTAATTAATAAAATCACAAAAAAATAGAAACAAATAATAGAAATGATGTGTTGCCACTGACGGTATTCGTACTGGATTCTGCTTGCAGCAAACAAATAACAGCAACCTCCTAGACACGTTCAGCTGCAGCCATACATACGAATTTTCTCTCAAATGTTCAACTCGAATCACATTTTTTACAATCGGCTTATTAATCATGAAAAAATCAAACCATAACTTGGTTGAAAAAACCAAGCTCAGTGTCCATATAAAAAAGTTACTCTACTTTTCATCCGAATTAGAAAACTTATTATATTCTAAGACATCCGCGAAAATATTAAAAAAAAATTGTAATAATAATTAAAGACTTACGTGAGCTGGACCCATTTGAAGATACCTCCGAAAATGTAATATTTTTTAAACCAAATTACTTTTTATTTATTTTTTAATCATCGCAGATAATAGAAGCTTAAAATATCTGCATTAAAATGTTTAAACATTTAACCTTTTACTCTCAAAAGGTATTACTCTCTTTTATGCGATCAGTCGCACGCTGAGCCGGCAAAGTATAAATTCCGTATAAAAAGATTAAGTTAAGTAGAAAAGTGTTTCTTAGATTTTTGCGTTTGCATATTTTATAAATTCGCTTGAAAGTATCTACATACATTATAAATACTGTTAAGCGATCTTGTTTTTTTTTTGTGCTGTGAAAGTGAGCTTCTCTAGCACTTCAAAGTGCGGAAGGTATAAAAAAAAAGTGCAAAAGCTAAAATGTAAACAACGCTTTTCTACTTAACTTAATCTTTTTATCCGGAATTTATACTTTGTCTCCTCACCATGCGCCGGATATCCAACCTTTAAAGAATTTTGCGACACCACTCACTCAATGCAATTTGTACATACATACATATATATTTAGTATATAACTGCACTTTTATATATATTTTTATTTTTTCTTTTAAATACTTTAGACATTTTTGTTATTGCGTTCTCGCTTTAATCCACTTGCGTCTCGTTTAACACAGAAAATTTGATATTTTTTCCCTCTTTATTTCTAACGCATCACTTTTTTTTACATATTACAATATATGCGTGTATAATATATGTATATATTTTATGTCACATACTATTTAACTAATCCTTTTACTCACTTTGCCTCTCTCATTCTCTCGTTATTTTTTTTTACAGCTCTTACTGTGAACGCGAGTATCGCGATTGCAGATTACAAACGTGTTACGTGCAATCGCCCGCATATCCTGGCCTATATCCGCGTGCATTAAATTGTCGTTATAAATTGCATACGCGACAGCCGTACATAAAATTGTACTTGCAGAATGAACAATTTGCGGTGGATGGACAGAGGTGAGTGAAAGCAAAAACAAAGGAAAAAATGAAATTCAAAGTTAAAATCCAATAGAGGGAGAAAAAGTTAGATATTGGCAATTTATGTAAGAAAAGGTTGACATGCAGAGTTACAGAAATTTTTGTTCTACGTACACATCGCACGTATAGAGTTTTAATTTAATTTACATTTTTGGAGATTTCATCATACAAATAATCTTTCCATCTGGCTTTTGGTGTGTACCAACTGTGTGAATAGATCATACTGTGATTGCGTTTTCCCACAAAAATGAAATTTTGAATTAATTATTAAACGTGCGATATATACATATAGATATGGGTAATTTCCCAACAAAGTGCTATTTTTTTGTACCCCCTTTTTAAATTTTTTTATGGTGGTAAAAACGAAAAATCAAAAAGCATTATACGATCCAAATAATAAGCCACCAGCATAAAGCCGTTGTTTTTTTTTTGTTTTTTTTTTGTAAGCTCTTTTGGTTTCTTTCGCGAACGGATTTCTTTGACATATTTTACCAACTCCATATACAAATGTTTGTTCCCGCTCAGTTTATTCGATAATCAAAAATATCTGCATATCTGAATTTTCCAGAGTATCACTTTTTTTTTAATTTGGCCGTGATATTAACATTTGTTGTTTTGCTTGCCTAAATCGAGTGCCGTTAATCAGCGAAAGAAGTTATTGGTAGATTGTAATTAGAAATAGCTTAATAAAAGAAATTATTTTGCGTTTTTAAGCGAATTTATCTTGCACCATGGTAAATATTTTCGGCAATTCACCCATTTTTTTATGCAAAAACACTAAAAATAAGATAATTACCAATGCCAATTTATTGCTTCAAGAGTTTCAATGATTTCCTGGTTTTTATAATTTGGTGAAATAAGATATGAAATATTTTCAGAATGTCACTTTTAGGTGAAAAGGAATTTTTCATTTAAATAGCTAATTTTTCCGAAGGTTTCCAAATGGCATATATAGGAAATTTTTGCCGAAGAGAGATTAAACAAAAAGCTTGCCTCCCAAGAAAACCCTCACGTTAATGTCATAAATTAGCTTATCTGATAAATGAGTTTTAGAGTGATATGCAAATGTTTAAAAAGCATGCATTTAATCTTAAAAATCAGTACAATGCTTATCAGTTAGAATACTTTTTTCTAACAGTTTCTAAAGTTATTTATTCCTTTAGCTACTTTTAAATAAAAAGTGACTGGAAAATATTTTACAAAAATGCAAAAAAAAATAATATTTCTTGAAGAACCTGAAAGCAATTTCGTATTCCAACACAAATTTTCACGTTAGTAAACGATTTTAGAGAATAAATTTATCAATCTTATAAAAAAAATACCTGTCATGTACACTTTGTTTGGAAATTACAAATGTGGTATGCCCCGTTTAGAAAATTAAATCAAGTTGGTGCTTATAGCGATTGTCGAAAGTAGACCGCGGATGCCTACGAAGCGTAAAAATATTTACCACATAACTATAACTAGACAAAATTTATAAAAATTATAAATTTTTCTTACACTTACGTCAAGTAAATATGTTTTTCTCAACACATGATTTGGTTCCAGTTATGTTATTTGGTTATAGTTGCCAAATCATGTGTTGAGAGAAATATATTCCGCTGATTTTTATTCAGAGTGTATAGTTGACTTTTACTGGTTCAGTTGGTTAAAAAGTAATTTTGCTAAGTTGTATTTTTAGTGAAAATGCAACTTTACATCGAAAAGGCGCTAAAAAAAGTAAAATTGTACCAAACCGCCTTCCGATCACTAATTGAAAGTGTGTTTTAAGGACATTAATAGCTAGAGGAATTCATAAAAGCAAATGCTCCTTTTTTACGAAGGACTCAATCCTTTTAAAAATTCAAATTCACATAGGCTACTGATCCTCAAGAAAATGATTTAGCCATTAAATTTTAGGCCTCAGAAATTTTAAAATGCGGCCCCAAATTTCGGCTGAAATTGACAAATAACAAGTGTCACCATATTTTTCTTTTAGTGACTAAAATTTGCTAGTGCATACAAAAAAAAAAGAAAGCAATAAATAAATAAACCCAGTGGAAAAGGGTCGCCATTCGTCAACTGCGCCTTTTAGTGTTTTATTTTTATTTTCAAAGCACTAAAAATCAAAATTTATTCATGTATTTCGTGCAAATCCCGCAGCACTAAATCATCACTGCAACACTAAAAAAAAAAAACAAATAGAAATTAAAAGAACACTAAACCAAATGAACTGTTGCAGCCAGGGACTGTTGGCTTTGCATGTACTGCATTGTGCGGTATAGCCTACTTTTTAGGCGGCTTTAGATTGTCACTGCCACATTGAGCTCGCGCCTAACACCAATGAATGCTGGCTAATGGCGCGTATGATACGAACCAAATGTAGCAATGCAGCTGACGGCGTTGCCGGTGACACGGCGTATGAGTGACATTTCTATGCTAAGCGCTGTGTAGAGTAAAAGAGTGCGAGTGTGTGTGCATATAGTGCAGTTGTAGATATGCACCGAAATTAACGTAAAGTTAACACTCGGTAATTTGTCATTTTGGCACGTTTCGGCTTTGCAATTGCGATAGAAAAGCGAATGGACGGACGGACGAACGAACAAACGGACGGGCAGTCAGCACAAAAGCGTCAGCTGGCATAGTGAGTGAGCAATTGTAGTTATGTATGCATTTAAAAAGTAGCGATGCTTTTAAAGGAATGAGTTGTGTGTGGTAAATGCTTTGTGCGCTGACACTTGCATTTGTTGGCATTTGGCATGCTGACAATGCCAATTTGACAGCTAAAGAAAAAAAAGTTTGGCACATTTCACAAGCACACACACAGGCGCACTTGCAGAAAAGCACACAAACACCGTTACAGCTGCGCGAGTGCTATAAATTTACGTTATTCATTATAAATACGTATTTTATATTCATTTCGGATTATTTTGCAAGCGTTTTTCTTTGCTCTTTCGCTCATCAAAGCGCCACACCTTCACTCGACTACCACTTCTTACCGACAAACACCTTTTAAAGCTTTTCTCACAGCTGTACGCAGCTACAAAGTGGTAGTTAGTCGGTTAAACAAGCACTCAGGTCTTGCTGGCGCACCTCAGGCACAGCTGTCACTCAATAGCGAAGCGCTTATGACTAATGATGATGCTCGCTGGCACTCATAAAACCACAAATATTTTATTTCTGTGACAGTGTCTTTTTTATATTTCTTTTTCCATGTTTTTCACTGGCTTTGTACCCGTATATCAAAAAAAAAAAAAATATGTATATCGCTTCTGTTGCCAATTTTTCAAAGCTTTCAATGCATTGTGGTTTGCCATTTGCCAAGCTTGTTATATTTCATAATACATTCTTCCATTTTTATATTTTGCTATATCTGCTTTTTTCCCTTATACCAGCGTTTCTTTATGTTTTCGTGTAAAAAAAATAAAAAATTATTTAGACATTAGGGTGGCCACCCCCTGTTGTTGTATTTTTTTAGAAACGTGGCAACCCCGTTCAAAAATATTTTTAAATATCTTCAAACGCTTTTTGTTTTGATGATGAAACTTAAATATTTTATCGAACTTTAAATATTTTTAAAGTTTCAAATATCTGGCAACACTGTTTTGAAAAACAATACCTACAGAAATAATCGAGTAGAATCCAAGGAAAAAATAAGCACATTCATTGAGCTGTTCGTGCGTAATGTAGCTATGAAAACATAAAATAACAAATTTTTGTATATAACAGTTAGGATTGTCGGTTATTAAAACGCACTTAGTAAGAGTTTTAAGTTAAATAATCACCATAGTGTTATTTTTTTTATATAGCAATTTTACGAAAAAATTTATTTTTCCCATGTAAAATACATGGGAAACTTCAAAGCCCTGGCGACACGGGTAAATATTAATCGATTTAAAATTAAAAAAATACGTGTCTCCTTAGTTTTGATATTCTTCAGATCTGGAGGATGGCTGAAGGAAAAGATTTTTGGGCCACCCTAATATAAATACATACTTATATATTTTGGCCTCGTAATTGAGGTGTCCTAATTGCCTGATTTGGCTGCAAGCAAACAAAAAAAAAAATCAAAAGTATAAAAGAAGCTCTCTTCTGTGAAGCATAAAAGTAAGCAACATAAAGCTGCCGCAGTGAGGGTATTGGTGTTGTGAAACGCAATAAATTGTAAAATACGTACTGGCAAAGGTTGTTTAATAAGCCGCTTGTACTTACCGCGCTACTTACCGAGCGTAATCGATCCAACAAAGAAATGCGAGTAAATAGAACACGTGCATATGTATGTGTGGCTGTGTAGCACAGTAGAAGCGTTTGGAAATCGGATTACTATCGCACTTATGTACATACGAAATGTACGATTCGATTGAAAATGGTTGCGCTAATGAAGCAGAAATTCTTTGAAATCAATGTAAGAGGAAATGTGTTGGCATACTTTACGAATTATGGATGCGACGTTCATACACAATTATTCGCATACATACACATACATACATGTATCGGTCGATCCAAAATTTATAATAACTGTTTTAAATCTTAAAACTGTTTAAACTTTGGAAAGACCCAAAACAATCCGAGGCATCCCAAAAAAGTTGAAAGTTCCCTAATAGCCTCGAAAAATCCCAAAGAGTTTCGATAAATCCAGCAAACATGAAAAACAGAATTCCGCAAAAGACTCAGGATATAACGCAGGGTCCCGATAAAATCTATAAAAATCCTTACAGATCCCAAAATACTTTAAAGGCTTCCGGAAAAGTCCCAAAAAAGTATCTTAGAGCCTCAAAAAATGTTAATCGCGACTAACGATTAAAATTAATTAATCGTGATCATCTGTACGATTAATGATAACATTTTTTTAATCGTTAATCATCGGATGTGATTACGATTGATTAATTTGAATCATTAATCGTTAATCCAATTAAAAATAAAATCCGATTAAGTGCTCTAGTTTGTCCGAATTCGAAACCAAACAAGAGTTATAGTTATTCGTTTGTGTTTCACGCTTATAAAAACACATAACATATAAAAAAAATAATAATTATTTTTATTAGTAATACATATGTATGTGCAGAGGGATATTAAAATCTTGTTTACATAACGTCTATTGGAATAGATTTGTGAGGAAAACCGACTTAGCCATACCCGATTAACTGGCCTTGTGGTCACAGGAAAGTTCCAGCGTAAATTAATTTATCACCAAACCTACTGCATCAAATTAAGGCTTAATTAAAATTAATTTTTTTAATCGGGGTTACGATTACCATCTGTTTAATCAGATTAAAATAAATCATGATTAACTGTAATCGGATTAAATTCAATCGAATTAACTAATTGATTAAAAGATCAATCGATTAGTGTCAAGACTGATTGCCAGAACGGTTCCATACTTAAAAGGACCGAATGGAATACAGTGTTACTTCGGTGAAAGAAAATAAGCCACTTATATAATGTTGCAAAGACTATTATTGCCGGAATCCGTAGCTCCTCGCATTTTCCAGTACTTCCTTACTGATATTAGTAATTTTAAAATTTTTATCTCAGATTGCTCTGAGCTTTTCCAGCATCTTTACCTCAATTTGTGAAATGAGAATTAATTAGTGCATACTTTTAGGCAAAATACAATACAGGCATCGTGGCCTGTTATCTCATATAATTTAGTATTTAAACTTTGAAGCAAAAGTGATTCGACTTCGGAATAAACTGTATGCCCATTATTCCGTGCAGCAATTTAATGCCTTCTGCATATTAACACACTTCTACATATGTAACCCCTTCATTAATTTTCCAGATATGGCTGCCGAAACTTCTGCTTCAACTTTTCAATAGGGCTATTCGCGATTCGGTGCATAAGAGCTGACAAATTTATGCAATTGCAGAAATATGCCATCGATTGTGAGCGACCTTTATTAAACTGTCATGGTAAAGCTTTTGCAAAACAATTTTTGTGCATCAGCTTTGGTTTTGTTTATGAATGCAATGCATAGCATTTTTATGCTATGGATTTTAGGTATTGCAAATTTGTCAAGCCATTACAAATGCAAATGCGTGTATTTTGTTTGTGTATTGCAAATAATTTGCAATACAAATTTGCAATGCAATGATGCTAGGCCATTTGCACCGGATCGCGAATAGCCCTAATAGTTTAAGCAATTCTACAATCAGCTGCTTCATTTGCACATTCAATGCGCACACACGCACAC